AATGGCAGGGGACATCGCAAGTGACTTGCACAAAATGAAGCTCTGGGCCAGACATGATGCCAAGGCATCTGGGAGAAGCCTGCATAATTCAGGACAGCCCAAAGCCTGTTTGAAGGGGGGGGGGGAGACACCGATCCTTTATTCATTTATAGGCATACTGGGAACTGTCAGCACATGAGCGGCATAGCTGGCAGGAACCTGGGCAAAACCAAAGCACTGGTCTGGACGTGACGCTGGGTAGCCTTGCAGGAAGCAGTACAGTTATGTTGTTGTTGTTGTTGTTTAATCGTTTAGTCGTGTCCAACTCTTCGTGACCCCATGGACCAGAGCACGCCAGGCACCTCTGTCCTCCACTACTTCCCACAGTTTGGTCAAACTCATGCTGGTAACCTCGAAAACACTATCCAACCATCTCGTCCTCTGTCGTCCCCTTCTCCTTGTGCCCTCCATCTTCCCCAACATCAGTGTCTTCTCCAGGGAGTCTTCTCTTCTCATGAGGTGGCCAAAGTACTGGAGCCTCAGCTTCAGGATCTGTCCTTCCAGTGAGCACTCAGGGCTGATTTCCTTCAGAATGGAGAGGTTTGATCTTCTTGCAGTCCATGGGACTCTCAAGAGTCTTCTCCAGCACCAGAATTCAAAAGCATCAATTCTTCGACGATCAGCCTTCTTGATGGTCCAGCTCTCACTTCCATACATCGCTACTGGGAAAACCATGGCTTTAACTATACGGACCTTTGTTGGCAGTACAGTTATACCTCGGGTTAAATATGCTTCAGGTTGAGCGTTTTCGGGTTGTGCTCTGTGTCGACCCAGAGGTAACAGAACACGTTAGTTTTGGGTTTCGCCGCTCGCGCATGCGTAGATGCTCAAAATGACGTCACACGCATGCACAGAAGCGGCGAATCGCGATCCGCGCATGTGCAGTTGCAGATTGCGTTCTACTCAGGATGCGAACGGGGCTCCGGAATGGATCCCGTTCGCATCCAGATGTACCACTGTATTCTGGAGGGAGGGATGTCTAATTCTGGGTGGGCCAAGACTTTATTTCAAGGTGCAAACATTCCCTTATTCCTCAGTGTGGCCTAGGGGCATGATGCATTTGAGAAACATGCTTCAATGCAGTCCTTTAGGACAGTGTGTGTGTGTGTGTGTGTGTGTGTGTGTGTGCACGCACACGCACACGCACACACACATGCGTTAGGGCTGGTCGATATATCAATATATCATCCAAAACCGGTTTGAAGTTCATATCGTGATATCAGTTTCGTAATTTTTTGACCTGGCGATATATCGCGAATCATGATGCGTGTTAGGGCTGAGCGATATATCGTCCAAAACTGGTTCATATCGTGATCATCTGTTTCATAATTTTTGACCTGGCAATATATCGCGAATCATGGTATACAATATGTGCGCTATGCAAAAATCACAATGTGGGGGAAACCGTGAAGCAAGCCAGTGCTTCTCTCGATTCCTGCAGCCCCTGTTAACTCTGCAGCGAATCACAAGAGCAGGCACCGGCAAAAATCACGATGCAGGAAAAACTGTGAAGCCAGCCGATGCCTGTCTACATAGCTCCATCCTTATTTCAGACACTGTGATATAGCAGTACATTGCATTTTTAGCTGGTGATATATTACGATGCTGAAAACCAGGTATCGCCCAGCCCTAGTGTGTGCGTATCAAAGGGTTCTGATTCCCAGTCGTGGAGGTTGCATGATATGGGGTGGTCTTAAGCTTATTTTGGGGTACAGGGGCATGTGAACATCAGTCCCTTATTCAGGCTGGTGTGCTGAATAAGGAACCAGGAACCAACCTTCGCCTCACATACAGCAGCTCACGAAACCCAAGCTAGACCGAAAGAGGTGCAAGAGTGGTTGCACTGGTACAAGACAACCCACTTAAGACTCTGAAACCATTTGTAGTCCCACCAGCGCTGTCATTCCTGCCCCCAGCGTCCCCCAAAGGACTACTGTTCACCAGAGTCTCTAGAGAAGGATGGCTGTAAAGGAGGAAGAGAACAAACAGAACAGAACAACAGTACAGATGGCATTCCTCCTTTGCGAGGAAAGAAAAACCACGGGTACCTATTCAAAGCTACTCATCAGTTCTTTATATGGTCAAGGATTGGGGTGGGGGAGAAAACCTCTGCAAGCCACTTCCCAGAAGACCAAGCCTTTGGAGAGATAACATGCCACCAGGATCGGTCTAGTTTGCATGAGTTCATCCTGGATGCCTTTTCCATCCTGTTTCCACTTTAATGTTAACATTTTAAAACTGGTGCCAAGAAAACCCCACCGTATTTAAATTCATCTTTTATCTCAAAGCACACATTTCTAAATGCATTTTATCCTAAAATACACTTCTCGGCTGAAAAAAAAGGGGAGAATAAAGAAATAAAATTCAGAGAAGCGCAGAAGTGGGAGAATAATTATGTTCCGATCAGTGGATTTTAGCCTGGGAGACACGAATTAGGTGGGCTTGCTTACAAAATGCAGACCAAACAAAATCCGCCCTCGTCCCTATCTGTAATGCAGTGAGATAACACACACACACACAAACACATAAAGGATGTCAAATTACATATTGCCAGGGAAGGAAGAAGGCAATCAAAGTTTCCTTATGGAAATAGTGAGAGTTGTGGTGTTATTGTTTATAAATGCTGGGAGAGGGCTTTTGTGGAGACCCAAGCCCAGAAGGGCTTCACTTGAGGTAGGCTATTCGCGGTCTTCAGCTTTGCCTCTGGAACAAGATTTTCAGAAGGAACGAATAGGGAGGCTTGAGGTGAGCCATGAAACTTGACTGCAGTTTCCAGGACTCAAGACGGAAATAACCTAAGCATTAACAAAGGAGAAAGCCTCTAGGCAGCTGCAATTGACCCCTGCGTTATTGGGGATTATGGATTCGCTGCAACTTCCAAACAGACCGGAGCTTCTCGCTTCGAAATAAAAACACACTTACCACATTTCCCAAAGGAAGCATTTGGGAATGAAGGGTTGAAAAACTAACTCCAAGAGGTGCCGGATTTAAATTGTTACACTTGTTTCCTCCTTGTTATTAGCTTTAAAATAGTTTCAGGATAAAAGCAGTGATGTAACAGAGAATCCTTCTTTTTTTAAAAAGCTAACAAGAGACAGTGGCAGAGAATTAGAACAGGGGTCAGCAAACTTTTTCAGCAGGGGGCCGGTCCACTGTCCCTCAGACCTTGGGGGGGGGCAGACTATTTTTTTTGGGGGGGGAATGAACGAATTCCTATGCCCGACAAATAACTCAGAGATGCATTTTAAATAAAAGGACACATTCTACTCATGTAAAAACATGCTGATTCCCAGCCTGTCCGCGGGCCGGATTCAGAAGGCCGGATTGGGCCGGATCCGGCCCCCGGGCCTTAGTTTGCCCACCCATGAATTAGAACATCCACTGGTGTTCTTAGCAGGAAGACTTAACGTTCCTTTACATTCTCGCCACCCTCCCTCCAGACTTGCAGCCCTTGCAATGCAATAAATTAAGCAGCTGTAACTCCTATTCTCCCTTGCAGACAGTTTCTGTGCTCAGAAATGTTCCTAATCAATTACTTTGGGCATGTGAGCACCACCACCCAAGTGCTCAAATCTCGAAGGGTTTCTGCTCCAAGCTAGCCAAGAGCATTCAAAGCTGCTTTGCCGGACCAGACTGAAAAGCCACCCATTCTGGAGCAGGATTTCAGGGACTGTAGAAGGAATGTCTGAGCCCTGGGTGGAACGAGAGTCTTCATTTATCCCACCAGCAGCATAATCCCTTCCTTGCTGCATGGCAAAGCGCATATGAAACAGGACGGCTAATTTCAAAAGTCCTTTGGGATGTGGCAAACGCACGTGTCATACCCCACAACATTTCTCTGATGAAAATAGGGGCGTCCTATTCCATGATTGGCACGTGGGTGGCACCGTGTTCTAAACCACAGAGCCTAGGGCTTGCCAATCAGAAGGTTGGCGGTTCGAATCCCCGTAATGGGGTGAGCTCTTGTTGCTCAGTCCCTGCTCCTGCCAACCTAGCAGTTCGAAAGCACAACAAAGTGCAAGGAGATAAATAGGTACCGCTCCGGCGGGAAGGTAAACGGCATTTCCGTGCGCTGCTCTGGTTTGCCAGAAGTGGCTTAGTCATGATGGCCACATGACCCGGAAGCTGACTGTGGACAAACGTCGGCTCCCTTGGCCAGTAAAGCAAGTGTGCAACTCCAGAGTCGTTCGCGACTGGACCTAACGGTCAGGGGTCCCTTTACCTTTACCTTTATTCCATGATTATAATAATCACAACAACAACAATTTTATTATTTATACCCTGCCCATCTGACTGGGGCGTCCCAGCCACTCTGGGCAGCTTCCAACATGTATAAAAACACCATTAAACATTGAAAAACTTCCTTATACAGGGCTGCCTTCAGATGTCTTCTAAAGGTTGTATAGTTCCTTATCTCCTTGGCTCGGGGGGGGGGGGTGCATAACTCCATACCCTCCGACATTTCTCTGATGAAAACAGGGGTGTCCTAGGGAAAAGTGGGACATTCCAGGATCTAATCAGAAACCGAGCCGGCTTCTGTAAATCCGGGACTGTCCCTGGAAAATAGGGATACTTGGAGGGTCTGGGGTGTCAGTCAGTGTTCAGAGGCAAAAATCCCCCTACAGAAGTAAGGTAAAGGACCCCTGGACAGTTAAGTCCAGTCAAAGGCGACTCTGGGGTTGTGGCGCTCATCTCACTTTCAGGCCGAGGGAGCTGGCGTTTGTCCACAGACAGCTTTCCAGGTCATGTGGCCAGTATGACTAAACCACTTCTGGCTCAACGGGGATGCAGTGAAAGAAGCCAGAGTGCATGGAAACGCTGTTTGCCTTCCCGCTGCAGTGGCACCTATTTATTTACTTGTGCTGGCGTGCTTTCGAACTGCTAGGTTGGCAGGAGCTGGGACAGAGCAACGGGAGCTCACTCTGCTGTGGGGATTCAATCTGCTGACCTTCTGATCAGCAAGTCCAAGAGGCTCAGTGTTTTGGACCACAGTGCCACCCCTCCTGTGACATTAAGAAGCCCTTTCTATCCTGGCTCATATCTGAGGGATGGGGAACCTGGGGCCAGCCACATGTTGCTAGGAGCAACATCCCAGCCTACCGGCTAGGACTTGGGAATCTATCGATGTCCGGTGTGCCACAGGTTGTCCACGCCTTTCCAAGCCGATGGTGGACACCATCCCTAACATCTGGCCAAAAGAAACAGCCTCTCATCTCCAAGTGCAGTTTTCGGTCATTAGCACACACAGCTTAATAGGACACTGATAGACCAACCCTCCGCCAGTTTGCCACGAGCTTAGCTGATCCATTACGAAGCATTTCTGCGACTCTCCTCACTTGGCCAGACTGCAGCGTCTGTGGCTGCAGCTCGCTCGCCTGTTAGCCACGGAACGTTTGCCAGCTCCAAACAACGCTTGCGTCTCTGTGGCGTTAGCTTTCTGATCGTTTTGTGCACCGCGCTCCTGCCTTCCACAGCAGGAGGATTGTTTGCTTGCTTCCTCCTCCCACAGCCCAAGGAAGAGACGCTCTTTTCTCTACCCAGACAGAAGAGCCTTTCTGCAGCCTCCCGAAGAGCCACCGGCAATTTCGCCACAGCTGCACTGCACACAGGAGAGCCCTTTACGCAACTCGACAAAAGCAGGCGAGAGGTGCCGTGCCAAGGGAAGGCTCTGGCCGTGCCAATCGCGAGGCTGCGAAGTTAATAAATGCAAAAGCTGGAGTCGAGGCAGAGGAAAGAAGAAGCCCTGGTAGTTTGGATGAGCCTTCTCTCAAAACAAAACAAAAATGGGGACATTTATTCTACACATCATGGCCAAAGCATTGCATCTTCTTCTGTTCCTCCTCTGTAGCATCAAGACTGAAGCACAACATTCCCCCTTCTCTGGCATATGGAAAACCACAAAGAAATGGTTTTTTTGGGGGGGGGGAAGGGGATACAAATAAAAGGCAGAAGGCATAAAAGGCAGCCAGGCTGAGCCAGACAACCCCCAGAATCGCTTCCAGGATCCAGCTGCTTCTAAAATGCTGGCAAGAACGAAACGTTCCCTCTTTGCAGGCAAAGAAAGTACAAAAACGGGCCCTTCTCCCCTTACATTCCTTCCAGGGGCGAGGTCTGCCCTCGGATCCGGAGCTTTTCGTGCCTCATTCATTCTTGGCCTCACCCTGAATCTCAGAATTCATTCTGTACCTTCTCACAGGTACTCCTAGGCAGGTGATACCAGGAAACAGGACACCAAAAATAAAGAGGCCGCGGAGTGGATAGGAAGGCAGTACTTTAATTACTGCAGGTGGGGGTGGGGGGGAGGCAGGGAGGGGTCCTTAAATGAAATTGGAAAGCTCCAACATCATGATTTCCACCCCCACCCAATTTTAGCCAGATCATGTTATCCCCCTATAACCTTTTCAAAAAACGAGGTAAAGCAGGCCAGCCCCACATCATCCAGAGAGGGTTATGAGCGGTGTTAGAGTTGAGGGGGGGATTTTATATAAGGTTTATCCGAGATGGGATTTGAAGCAGGTCTCAGCAGCAGAACCTCCTTGTAATGCTGATGCGCAGCTCTGGGAGAAGCAAACTCTGAGCATGTACAAAGAGTCTTTCTCTCACCACCAGTTCATCACAACTGCTCCCCACCACAAAGGGCTTGATGTGTAACTAGGTTTTACTAGACCAGGATCCAAGTACCAGTGCTTAGCCGAAACATATGAAGTCATACGAAAGAGAGATATTCCCCTTACCGCATTTGAGATTAAGGGAAAGGGTTTTCCAGAGAACAGCACAGGCTTGAGCCTTGAGGTAAAATTATAATAATCCCAAGAACGCATGGAAGGAGAATGCTGGAAAACACTGCACGAGTGTTAACGGCAATTTCTGGAGCCAAGAGAAAAAGGGAACCTGATAATCCTTTGTGGAAGTCAGTGAAGGGGGGGGGAATTAAAGCCTGATGGTGGTTTAACTCAGAGTGTTTCCCAAACTTGGGTCTCCAGCTGTTTTTGGACTACAACTCCCATCATCCCTAGCTAGCAAGGATGATGGGAGTTGTAGTCCAAAAACAGCAGGAGACCTAAGTTTGGGAAACACTGGTTAAACTAATGCTCCAAGTTAAAACTATAAGGGAGGAAAGTATCCACCTGAACACACGCGAAGCACAAAACTTCCAAACCAGGCAGCTGCAGCCAGGAAAGAAAGCTCTTCCAAGCAAGGTTAGGAATGGTCAAGGAAAACAAGGAAACAAACAAATACCGTATTTTTTGCTCCATAAAACTCACTTTTTCCCTCCTAAAAAGTAAGGGGAAATGTGTGTGCGTCTTATGGAGCGAATGCAGGCTGCGCAGCTATCCCAGAAGCCAGAACAGCAAGAGGGATTGCTGCTTTCACTGCGCAGCAATCCCTCTTGCTGTTCTGGCTTCTGGGATTCAGAATATTTTTTTTCTTGTTTTCCTCCTCCAAAAACTAGGTGCGTCTTGTGGTCTGGTGCGTCTTATAGAGCGAAAAATACGGTAAACTGTCCCTTGTATGGAAGTGGTGCTAAAACTCCTGGAATCATTCAGAGGGCACATTCATTTGGGTAAACAGGAATATGTCGCAAAAACCCTCAACTGGGACAGGCAAAATTCACCCCAGTTATCAGTTCCAGAGCGCTCCCTGCCCCCACCCAAGTTTCTGCTCCTCACTCACCTGATGTGTCCCACATGTTGAGTTCGATGCGCTGCTTTTCGATCTCGAAACTGGCCGTGTAGTTCTCAAACACCGTGGGGACATAGTTCTGCAAGGGGGGGGACAGCGGAGACAACAGAACGCATGAAACCACAGAATTTCATGCCATGCCGCCGACTGGGAGAAACACCCCCCCCCCCACTGCTAGCACCCCAACCCAGAACTCGCACATCTCAGCCCCTGACACACTCGCAGCCGGACCTCAAAACCCCAAAGCAACGCTCCGTTTCTGAAAGCAAACATTTACGGTGCACGCCTCTGCCTCTGGAAGACCTTTCGTCCTAATTTGTGGTTCGTGTGGGATCCTGGCTATGTTCCAGTAAAAGCAAAAGAGAGGTTCTCCCTGGTTGCTTAGAGGAAGTTCTGTCTCCGGACTCAGCCAAGGCACTGAAAAGAGGCTCTAGGTCTTTTATTGAGTTCTGCAACCCTCAGTCCCAGCAGAGGCCGACTTTGTGCAAGGACAAAATTTGGTGCCCCCCACAAAGAAGAATATTTCTTATTTTCACAATAATTCATTTTGGTAGAGTTGCTTTCTTACGTAGCTACTTAGTAGCTACCTGTATATTATTATTATTATTATTATTATTATTATTATTATTATTATTATTATTATTATGGCCCTCAGCTAGAGGGAACCAGATGCTCTGCCCTAAATCCAGCCGCCCCACAAAGGGAGGCAGGTTGTTCCGGGTTTCAGGCATTCCGCCTGATGTTCCAGCGGTTCCTCAGTTCCATAGTTTCCCTACAGAACCCTAAATCTCCCTCCCAGCTTTTCCTGAACCCGACTGCTCACTTGAACCTCCTCCATCTTCTTCACCCCTCTCAAAATTGTCCCCCCACCCACCCAGACACCCAAACTCTCTAACCTAACCTGCTAAGTCAGTCTAACCGAAAAAGAAGATTTTTGTGGCACCTTGGAAGATGAAGGAATCGATTCTGGCAGAAAGGGGGAAGCGCCTTGAACCGCCCCCCCTGTGCGGAGAGTCCCTTCTAGGTCCCTTCAGCCCCCCCCAAAAAAACCCTATTTTACACCCCACATGACACACTCAAACCCTTGCAATTTGACCCTCCCCTTCCAGAATATTTCAGTTTTGTGTGTTTTGCCTCTTCCTGCTCTCATCTCGCCCCTGGCTCTCCCAACAGGTGACACCAGCCGTATCCCTTCCTAAGACCCCCCCCCCAAAATCCCGCAGTCTCCGGCCACATCCGAGGGGACACCCTACCCAGTGGGCACCGTCTAAAAACACGGGCTCTCCGCCCTCTCGGGACGACGCTGCCGTCGGGGATCCAAGACCTGGGACCTCCCGCAAGGCGCAAAGCGGGCGCTAACCCCCTTCGACGTCCTGAGACCGGCCGGCCGCCCCGTCGGAGGAACCGGAGACCCCGCTGGCCAACCGGCAGCCCTGCTCGGCTTGCCTGGACGCCGCTCTCCGGCTGCATCTCCCGAGCCCCCCACCCACAATACCCACCCACCCACCGCGACCGTCGGGGGTCCCTTCCTTCCCTTCCGGCTTCCCCGCCCCGTCGGATGGGGCTCCCTCTGCGGGAGGCTGTCTCCCCCCCGCCGCCCCGTACCTCGGGGTAGGTGTCCTTGGCGAAGACGTGGAGCAGCGCCGTCTTGCCGCACTGGCTGTCGCCCACCACCACGATCTTGCAGCGGGCCAGCTGGCTCTCCATGGCGCCTTCCGAGGCAAGACGGCGCGGGCCGCCTCTCAGTCCCCGCGCCGGGAAAAGAGCAGGAGCAACATCGCCGCCGCCTCCGCCCGCCTCTCCGCGCTGGCAGACAGGCTCCTGCCGCGGCTCCCCGGCTCCCGATGCCGCACCCCCTGCTCCGCCCTCCCGAGCCCCCGTCTCGCCGCCGGCCCCCTCGCGGCGCTCCTACCCTCCCGTCGCCAGCAGGCGGCGCCCTGGAGCAGGCGTCCCCCAGACCAGCCTCGCCGGCGCGTCCGGAGGGTCCCTTTGGCTGATGCGCAACCGGGGGAGCGGGTTTAGCTCCCCCCCCCGGGATGCCAATATTTTATTCCAACTTGGCAATGTTTTGAATGGCAATGTCCATCAATGGGGGACCCCAAGCAATTGATCACAAACGCACTGTTTTAAATGGCAATCTCAATCAATGGGGGGAGGCGGACCCTCAAATATTTTATGGGGGGGCGCTGATGAGTTGCTCCTATCTCTCCGCGCGACACCCCCCCCAAAAAAAAACTCCATCCGCCTCGATGAATCCCGGATATGAGGCTTCTTCGACAGCCCCTATTTAGGAATTATCCCGCAGAGGCTTCCGTCCAAGGTGCAGAACCGCGACCCCCCCCCAAAAAAGCCATGCCCCCCCTCTTTTTTCCGCTTGATCATGGAAAGAAGAAGGGGGGAAACTTGCAGGGTCCTTTCCTTTCCGTCTTTTTGCCCCCAGTATCTCCCTCTTCGGGGCCACCACGTGGGGAAAAGAAAAAATGCAGTTGCTTTGACGGGCAAACGCAGATCAGTTTCTTCCTCTCCAGCATTTGTGGGGGTTTATTGCTAAACCCCACTTTAAAAATAAAAAAAAATCCTGTTGTTTTACCGCCCCCCCCCGAAATAAGTGCTCTCTCTCTCTCTCTCTCTCAACGTGCTTCCTTTTCCCCCAAGAAATGAGAAATTAAGATGCAAAGTAGGTTTCCCCCCCCCTTTTCCCTAGTACCGAATTTGGGTGGAGGTGGAGTGTTTTTAAAAAGGGGGGGAGATGCCACTCCCAAGACAGAGATGCCGTAGTGATGCAGAGAGAGAGAAATTCTCAAAACATTTGCAGAAAGAAAAGAGCAGCACACGCGCTTGGTTCCCGGTCGGCGGCGTCATCGCTTCTTTCCTCCTTCGGCCACCGGGGGGCGCCGTTCTTCCCCCAAGCGTTGAGCGAAGGAGGAGGGGGAGGGAACGGTTCTAATTAACGCAACTAATCATGAGAGCTGGGCGAGCCTAAAAATATTTAATTATCCTATATATTGTGCTCGCTCTGCAGGCCTTCGGCCCCCGCAGAAAATGTTACCCTTCTTTTCTGATTGGGATTAATTTAGAGCATTAGCTGAAAATTCACAACCCCTTTTGCTGTCATTAGCACTCAAAGACTGCTCTTGGTGGGGAAAACAAGACACTGCCTAGACAACATCTTAAAAAGCAGAGACATCACCTTGCCAACAAAGGTCCGTATAGTTAAAGCTATGCTTTCCCCAGTAGTGATGTATGGAAGTGAGAGCTGGACCATAAAGAAGGCTGATGGCCGAAGAATGGATGCTTTTGGATTATGGTGCTGGAGGAGACTCTTGAGAGTCCCATGGACTGCAAGAAGATCCAACCTCTCCATTCTGAAGGAAATCAGCCCTGAGTGCTCACTGGAAGGACAGATCCTGAAGCTGAGGCTCCAATACTTTGGCCACCTCATGAGAAGAGAAGACTCCCTGGAAAAGACCCTTATGTTGGGAAAGATGGAGGGCACAAGGAGAAGGGGACGACAGAGGACGGGATGGTTGGACAGTGTTCTCGAAGCTACCAGCATGAGTTTGACCAAACTGCGGGAGGCAGTGGAAGACAGGAGTGCCTGGCGTGCTCTGGTCCAGGGGGTCACAAAGAGTCGGACACGACTAAACGACTAAACAACAACAATAGGTATAGGAAACATGATGGTTGGTGCTCTGCTCTCCAATCGCTCTGCTTCAAATGGTAATGGTAGACTGCCGAGGGCACCTGTATCTCAAAGGAGGCTGCCCGCTGTGTCTCTGCATGAGTCGCTGCTCTGGTTGACCTCTTCCTCTTCTGCCAGGAGGAGGTGGGTAGTTTTAATGCGTTGCTCATGACGCTGGGCGCGGTCAGAGAACGCAGTGCAGAATTGCCAGCCCTCAGAAGAAACTGCCCGGTGCCTCTCTGAACGAGTAACTGTTCTAGCATCGGTTGGGTTGGGGAGTCTGCCTTGGCTCTCAGAAAGGTGGGCAAAACAGCTAGCTAGAGGAGAGATCTTTAAAAATGGCTACCGATATCTTGGTAGTACTCAGGTTCCTGGGGTGGAGTGCTAGGGGAGGGGTAGTCCCTTGGTAGAGGACACATCCTGCTCCTTCTGGGGAGCTTTATATTATTATTATTATTATTATTATTATTATTATTATTATTATTATTATTATTATTATTATTTATACCCCGCCCATCTGGCTGGGACGCGGGTGGCGCTGTGGGTTAAACCACAGAGCCTAGGGCTTGCCGATCAGAAGGTCGGCGGTTCGAATCCCCGTGACGGGGTGAGCTCCTGTTGCTCAGTCCCTGCTCCTGCCAACCTAGCAGTTCGAAAGCACGTCAAAGTGGAAGTAGATAAATAGATACCGCTCCAGTGGGAAGGTAAACGGCGTTTCCGTGCACTGCTCTGGTTCTCCAGAAGTGGCTTAGTCATGCTGGCCACATGACCCGGAAGCTGTACGCCGGCTCCCTCGGCCAATAAAGCGAGATGAGCGCCGCAACCCCAGAGTCGGTCACGACTGGACCTAATGGACCTTTACCCTTACATCTGGCTGGGCTTCTCCAGCCACTCTTGGGCGGCTTCCAACAAAATATTAAAATCCCGTAATACATCAAACATTAAAAGCTTCCCTAAACAGGGCTGCCTTCAGATGTCTTCTAAAAGTCTGGTAGTTGTTGTTCTCTTTGACATCTAGTTTGAGGGCGTCCCACAGGGAGGGCGCCACTACCAAGAAGGCCCTCTGCCTGGTTCCCTGTAACTTGACTTCTCGCAGTGAGGGGACCCCCAGAAGGCCCTCAGCGCTGGACCTCAGTGTCCGGGCAGAAAGATGGGGGTGGAGATGCTCCTTCAGATATACTTTTTCCACCTTTGGTCCCTGCCCTGTACTCAGCTCTCACCTGCGTCTCCTGGAAGCTGTCAGCATATGACAGCGGCCACACCCTGGGAACAGCTTTGACTTCTCAACTTAACCTGCCCCATAGAAGTCCAAAAGGGGGCCATGTCCCAGCAGAGTCAAGCCTAGATGTCTGCCAGAACTGGCTTCCTTTCAGTGCTTTGTAATGGTGATCATTAAGGAAGTGCAGCGTTTGCTGCTAATCACCCTCTTTAAAAGCACTCTAAGTGCAGCCGGATGCATTATGGTCGCAAATAACTGCTTTAAAAAAAAATCTAGTGCCAAAGAGCTATTCCTACTGGGATACGTGGAGAAGGAAGGGGGGGATGGTAGGGGTGTTCCTGTCCCCATGCAGAGAGTTTTGTTTTTCCAACACTTTTAAATTCCCAGCATGCCTCACTGCTACGCACCGGTTGGACACAGAGGAACGGTGGGAGGAACCAGCTGGGAACCCCCAAAGGAAGAAGGCTCAGATCCTGGGGAGTTGTGGTCCGAGGGAGAAGCAGTGTCAGAAGCGGGTAACAGGGCTAAGTGAGCTGGGAGAATCTGTGGCAGAGAGTAGTTGAGAATCAGAGGCAGAAGCAGAAGGAGGAGAGGAGGGAGGCCGAGAGGCATACAGAAGTCAGGCTGGTGAAGAATCATGGGGGTCTCTGTCTGTTACTGTGACAAGCTCCCATCTCCCCTGGTCTCCCGGACCAGAAGAGGCATAAAAAGGGCAGAGGAGAGGTTGGCTTCATGCAGGCACAGTCTCCGATTGCTTGGGATAAACCCTGGAGAGGAAGGAACCTCGGCAGCTGTGGGGAGGCAGGGACCTGTCAGGAGCTCGTCCTACACTCCAGTAGGACCCTGGCAGAGACACATGCCCGACTGGCATGTTCTTGCCCTCCTGGTCGATCGTTCAGGAGCTTCAAAAGCTTTCTTCAGCCCGAGCATCACAGCGACCAATGCCAACCGACACCGGCACACTTAGGGATCCGCAGAGTCTTCACAGTTCACGTGACAGCAACTCAGCATTTTGGCTAATCTACTTTATTTACATATAAACACACACGGAGCACTGCAACATGGCTCTCTCTCTCTCTCTCTAGCATCAGACAGCAAAGACAAAAATAACAAAGGGCAATAGTCCCACTTCAGGAAACACAGTAATACAAAGATCCTGTCTTCATCACTTCCCTGTATAGGGAAGGTATTATATGTTTGATGTTTTGTTATGTTTTTATATAGGTTGGAAGATGGCCAGGGTGGCTGTAGCAACCCAGTCAGATGGGTGGGGTATAAATTTTTATTACAGTGGTACCTCGAGTTACATACGCTTCAGGTTACAGACTCCGCTAACCCAGAAATAGTACCTCAGCTTAAGTACTTTGCTTCAGGATGAGAACAGAAATCGTGCGGCGGCAGTGGGAGGCCCCATTAGCTAAAGTGGTACCTCAGGTTAAGAACAGTTTCAGGTTAAGAACGGACCTCCAGAACGAATTAAGTTCTTAACCCGAGGTACCACTGTATTATTATTATGGAATAGGACGTCGCTTTTCATCTGAGAAATGTCGGAGGGTATGCATATCCAACCAAAGATCACAGGATGGTTTACAATATGAAAACACAAAATACATGTCATAATAACAAACCGAAACCTGCCCAACTCAGTATAACAGGCCACAGATATATTTTATTATTATTTATTAAATTTATTAAATTATGGGCCCTTGCCTTTGGGTGGTAGCAATTATAAGCAAATGTGTTTTTGAGTATTTTCTGAAGATTCTTCCCCACAGCCCTTCACCTCTGCAGCTAGGAAGGCAGACTAAAAAGGTAAAGGGACCCCTGACCATTAGGTCCAGTCGTGGATGACTCTGGGGTTATGCGCTCGTCTTGCTCTATAGGCTGAGGGAGCCAGCGTTTGTCTGCAGACAGCTTCCGGGTCATGTGGCCAGCATGACTAAGCCGCTTCTTCTGATGAATCAGAGCAGCGCATGGAAACACCGTTTACCTTCCCGCCGGAGTGGTACCTATTTATCTACTTGCACTTTGACGTGCTTTCGAACAGCTAGGTGAGCAGGAGCTGGGACTCACCCCGTCGCAGGGATTTGAACCGCCGACCTTCTGATCAGCAAGCCCTAGGCTCTGTGGTTTACACCACAGCACCACCCGTGTCCCAGAAAGGCAGACTACCTGCTCTGAAAAAGGCACAGCCAATTTACAAGATGAGAGGGGCTGGGTTCATAGCTCAGATGCAGTGGCAAGCCTTGGGAACTCGAGCGATGAGCGTAGGCTAACGCATTTCTACTCCTCGGGGTCAGAGGTCCTCACAACCTGCGCAGAACTGCAGGCAGGATGTCAGCCTTAGACACGTTTCCACTTAAAGACAGATCTCAGTTTCTCTCTCTCTCCCCTCTGGAAGCTGCTGCTCCATGTCAAGAGGGATGCATCGTGTCAGCCTTGCCACTCTAATGTCCTAAAAATGTCTATCTGTGACTCCTCGCCATTTCAATTAGCCGAGTTATTTATTTATTTATTGGAACAGAGCTCTCAGCTAATATCCGGCAGCCTGAGTCATGGAGCTAAAGACAAGAGAACTCCAAAGATTTACTGTAATGGGAAATTTTAATTTGTCAAGAATGGGACAAAATATAAGAGGGAGAGAGAGAGAGAGAGAGAGAGAGAGAGAGAGAGAGAGAGAGAGAGAGAGACGCAGTGGAGATTAAAACGTTGTTGGCAGCGTCACTGAGACATTTATTAATGGATGAGCAGTTGGGTCTAGTTTCTTATTTCTCCAAGCAGGTTCATCTTTCATGAATAAATGTTAGCATTTTTCCAACTGGAAGCAGAGACATCTCCTGGCATTGGTCCCCATGCAAACGGCCCCTGCAAAATTTATCACCAGTGCAAAGTGAGATAAAGATGTGCAGATTTGCTCAATGAAACTACAGCTGTGCCCCAGATAGAAAAATCCAAATTGCAGGTTATAGCACATGTACATGAGGACAGACGATTGTCACCATCCACAGAAATATTCTAGATGTCTTTGTAGCTTTGGCTAGAGTGCCTCTAATCATGCGTATGTGTCTAAACGTGGGCATGTTGCATAACTCAGTCATTAGAACATGCAGTTCTGAATCTCAGGTTCATGGGTTAGAACCCCATGTTGGGCAAAAGATGTCTGCATTTCAAGGGCATAGCTGTCAACCGTCCCTTATTTGGCGGGAAAGACCCTTATCCCAGCGCCGTGTCCCGCTGCTGTCCCTTATTGATGATGTCACTTAAATTTCCCGGGTTTCAAAGGAAGCAGCTCCTCTCCCTCCCTGTCGGCCAGGGAGGCTCCAACTGGGTTGCTTGGCTGCGTTGCTCAACCAATAAGGAGTCTAAGAACGACTGGGGGGTGGAGCTTGCATGCCTTGTGCTGATCAAATCGGCCACGTTGCCTGGGGACTCGCCTTTGCTCAGCGCTTCCCAGCGGAGAGGTGACGGTGGTTTTCCTTGCTACATCCCCTTTGCCAGGTTGCTGCGCTGTGGGAACCACCGCCTGAGGCTTCGTTTGGCTGCTGGATGGGCTTTCTGCCTTTGGCTCGGTGGGGTTTAGAAGTTGAACATACCTGTGCCCTGAAAATCCCTTATTTTGGCTGCTGATCCCTTATTTTCGAGGCTGCTGGTCCCTTATTTTCAAATCTGTAAGTTGATAGCTATGTTCAGGGGGTTGGACTAGATGACCCCCGCAGTCAAGGCCTCGTAGGACGCCTCTACTGCCATCACCTCCTGTCAGTGCCACGAGTCCCCACAGGCCGCTGCCACAAGGACTCGCAGGCCCCACCACCGTTTCTGCTGCCAAATCCTGTTGCCACTGCTAGGCCTCACAGGCCAATGCCATGACTGCTGCCTCTTCCCATCACCACCACAAGGCCTCACAGCCCACTGCCATCACTGCCACCACTTTCCGTCACCACCATGAGGTCTCGCAGCCGCCACCGCTACTGCTGCCACCTCCCATCACTGCTGTGAGTCCTTGCAGTCAACTGCCGCTACTGCCATCACTCTCTATCACCGCTG